GCTATATAACCGATGCTAAATGACTACTTATTCTTAATAGTCATAGTAGCTATCTGACTACTGATTTCGATAACTTCTGCAAGCAGAATACTATTATCTGTCTCTATATATCTGCGCATGCTTCACAGCTTCTTCAACCACTTAATATTAGTGTTTTTGGCCTACTTAAACTTATATATAGAAAGCTCCCTGAAGAATATATAGTTGCCGGCAACAATTATATTGATAAAGAAGATTTTCTATCTCTATATCCAGATACACACGCTAAAGTATTTACTTCAGAGAAGATCTGCAGTAGTTTTACAGAAGCAGGACTTAAGCTATTTAATCAAAAGTGTGTTCTTTCAAAGCTGAACTTTCAACTATGTACACCAACACTACTACTAGCTGAAGGCTTAATTTCCTCTGCTTTTTAAACTCCTCAGAATATCTGTCAGCTAGACCGGAAGATCTGCAGTCTATAGAATAGTCTTAATACAAAGCGGAAGCTTTCTAGCAGTCCAATTACTTATATTCAACACCTTGAAAAAGCTGCGCAAATGGCCATACATACCAATCTTCTCTTACAACAAGAAATCAAGACTGTACGAGCTAAGAACAAGCGGAAATATAAGAAAAAAGCTAGAAAACGTACTATAATAGGGAACAATAGCCTTTTAATAATATAGAAAGAAGAAAATCACGTTCAGCAGTTTAATACATAGTTTAATAAGCAGCCTGAGTAACCTATACCTATGCCTCAACAACAGGCCCCTCAATACTGCAGCGGCTGTGGGATTATTGGACATACTATTCGAAATTGCCCTAATAAATAGCTATTTTTTTATATTTTTAATAAGTCAAATTTAATAGTGTTTGTTGTTGAAAAGCTTCAAATACTAGTAGATAGTTTGAAAACCTGCCGGCTCGGCCGTAGTGCCGGCTCGGCCGTGGATTACGTTATTTATTATCTTACTGTATGGTATTCATTCACGCTGTAATACATGAGCCATGTAATATTTATCCATGGATTGATCTTATTTCTCCTCTGTTTGCAGTGTGGCCAAGTCTCGTTCTCCCCTGTAGGCCTTATCTCTGTCCAATGGTAGAAGATGGATTCTCTGGTCGGGCTTAACTTTACGCCGTTCTCTAGAGCAAACTCCCGCCGTGTTCCGTGTTTGGGCAGTATTGCAGATAACCAAGTAGCCGGGCAAGTAGGATAGGTTATGTGGTCTTTTTCAGTTCTTCCAAAGTGAGAGTGTCATTATGCAAAACTGGGGGTACGTATGTATGTACAATTGGGAAGGCATGTTGTACATTGGCAGCACCGGTGTACGCATTTGGATTTGGTTTAAGCCCATGGGAAATGCCCAACGACTGAGTTCATTCTTACTGTAGATGTGGATGATGCGAGGTGCCCATTTAGGTACCTCTGGAAGGCTGGAACCCTGTAGGAAATGATTAGAATGGAGGAGTCCTAGTGTATTATGATCGGGCTTCAACATACCCTCTTCATCCAACAGCGTCCGTTGTTTCCAGCACTCTTCTACCCATTCAGCAGTGACGAGGTGTGGCACCTTCTTCCCCGGTTTTGCAGAGTATGATTTGCGGATCGCAGAGACGTCTAAAGATGAGCTATCCGGAGCTACGACGATATGAGTAACCGACGAAGATTTCGAATCCACAACACTCGCTCCCGCAAATTGCGCAGTGTTGCGTGCTAGATGAAGACGGTATTTCTGATGGATTTCTGGCGTCTCGTCTACTTCTGCATCGTCCACTTTGTCATTCTGAGGAAAGAGGACGGTCAGACCTTTGAATAGCCATCCGGAAGGCATCTCCCATCCGGCATTGACTTTCTCCTGAATACGCTCGTTGAGTTTCCGGGCGATTTCGGGATGCTGGGAAACATCAAAGTGACGATCATTGCTCATCTGCTTCAAGATCTTGTCACAGTCAGGAAGTTATAGTATCCTATTCTGAGCGGGATGCTTACCTCCTTGAGCTCGTCATTGGTGGTGTTGCGGGCATAGCTATCATTGAACCGATCAATGCTCGCTGCAATCTCCTCCTTTCTGTCCTGTGTCGCGAAGAAGACGTGTCTGGGTGCGCATTAGTAGACCAGGAACCCTGTTCCAGACTGAATTAACGTACCTGGGTTCAAGAGGAAGAAGAGAATCAGGCAAACCCGCATCAATTTCACTCTGTCTGATACAATCCAGAATCCAAGAGGGCCGGATAATATCGACCTTGCCGCTTTTTTGAAGAGACGCGGCTTTTACAGTCTCTGCATAATATGTGAGTTGATGCTAATGGTTCAAGGAGTCTCCCATGGCGCGCATACTTCTGTCCGCGATACAAATTGTGCTAGGAGCAGCATTACTCGTCTGAAAGAACTTGCCACCATTAGCCTTCACGAGCTGTTCTAACTCCGCCTTTGACTTTTTGACTGGTGTGTTTGAGTCGGTTGTAATGTCTGTAACTTGATCAGTTCGTGCCTTGACGATACACCCGGTCTTCCAACGTACAGAAATTTAGCCCTTCGAAGATATGTCCAGATGGCCCGGCGTACTGAGCTTCTGCTTCCGCATTGTACCCTGCAATAGCTAGAGGCTTCTTGTTATCCCTCTTCGCCCGTTTCTTGCGTGAACTATCCACATTAAATTCTTTCTCTTTGCGCTCTTGTTCCGCATTGGCTTTGAGGTCGAGGAACTCTTGGACTGAGAGAGCGCTTTTCCAATCTTTGTCCATACGCAGCTTTTTGAAGCGCGGAAAGCGTAGCGTCAGTCCGATACGAAACTGATCGCTGACAGCTACTGAAGCTGCCTTAACGCAGAGAACCACCGAGTCTTCGGGCTTTATCCACATATCTGGGCGTTCATACTGCGCATCTCCGCCTGCCAGTTCCATGTATGTCGTGGGAGGCTTCTTGGGTTTCCACTCGTGCCATTTACCGTCTGTATGGTGCCTGATGTTTGCATAATCAGCTGCAGTAAAACCGCCTCCTACCTTGCAGAAAGAATAACACTTAGATGCCAATCCTCCTTGTGAGGAATGAGCATCATCGACCCTTAACCCACATAAGAAACTTGAAAGGCCACCGCCCCGATGACCTGATCCATAGTACCCTCCGATCACGACGACATCCAATGATTCTCCGAACTCAGTCATATATTCCGGCTTAACCTTCATCCAGTCATCGTGTCTTTCATTCAGGCGATAGGGTGACCTGGGATTCTTAAGTACCAAGCCCTCGGAAGCCTCTTCCACAACTCTTCTCAGTGCCTCTTCGACCTCAGTTTTGCCCGTAGCTTCTTCGTAAGGGTGGATTTCGAACCTGCGATGAACAGGTTTGATACTTTTCTGCAATGCGTTCCGGCGGTCACGAAGGGTGTATCTTGTCAGATCACGTCCGTTCAAATACAGTATGTCAAATACACGGAACAATGGCCGGGTAGTGCTCGAGTATGGGTTTCTCTGTTCGGATAATGCGGCCGTCTTAAGAGTGCCAAAGGGGGCAATGGCATCCTGTTCAGTATCCCAAGTAATCATTTCGCCATCCAGAATCAAGCTCTCCACTCCATCTGCAAACGCATCGTTGAGATGTCTTGTCAAAGCACCATTGTCATCTTGTATGCCATGTCCGTAGAGATATGTGTAATCCTTAGCTTTTCTTGACCAGAAGCGAAACGTTCTACGCCCTGCTACCGAACAGTTCGAATCCATATGAAGCTGCATACGCTCTCCATCAAGCTTCTCCTCAATCCAGAAAACCGGGTCATCTTCCGTCAGCCTCATCCGGTTAATCATCCGATCCAGTGAGTGCATCTGAAATTGAGCCAGCTGCGGTTGGAAACATTGCATCAACGTGATTCCTCTATCTTCAGCTTCAAGCAGGATATTAGGATCGTGCAGTTCCCAACAGACGCGCCGAAGACTACTCGAAATGCTGTACAGATTTTCCGCGTCTGGATGGAACACATCGAAGAAGGTGCGCTCCGTCGCTCCGACCTTCATCTGTCGCAGGATGATACGGATAAGCCACATGAGCTCTTCTGGATTCATCCGTCGGTAGAATTCTGTCAAAATAGGCAACTGTTGATTTTCCTTAGACGCCGTGGATAGCAGATCAAGTTTCTCATTCACTTCCTCAATGGTCATATCACCCACTTCCGTGCGCATTGGCCGCTTCGAGAGTACACCGTAGCATCGACCTGCGAAATCACCAGCCATGGTGGACGTAGTCGTCTGTCCGGGTAATTTCCAGTTTAATAGATTGAGAGCATCCTCCGAATTCTTATCAATTTTCATTATTATGATTAGAAGTTTCCCGATAGCCTTCTCCTTCATTCCGTACATTGCCCGATCCCGATCTTTGTCGGGCAGAATCAATCGAAACGCGGGATATATGTCGTCCCCGACCTCCTTCCTCCATCTTGAGATGAAGCGGTCGATAACATCTCGCCGCCTTTCCAATGGAGTCAGATTAGCGCTGGACAGTCCATGAGGGCCGACCTTCTTGCGCGCAGGTCCAGCTGGATTCTTTTTGATCTCACTCAATGGATAGAAAAGCGTCTGGAACAAAACATGAAACGGCAAAGTAGTGGAATGATTTTGTGGGCGGTTGGGATACCTGGCGCCAATTGATTAGCAAATTGTGCAATGTCCAGCGAAGGGAAGTGAGAGTTGTCGGTATTACTTTTCATCTAGGTCAGACTGATCATCTTCAATGCGAGGATTAGTATTGGCAGGCTCATTGTAATCGTCATCAGAATCCATGTCGCATACAAAAGACTAGATTGTAAATCTAGGTAGTGAACCTGGGTTTCGAGGGCAGCGTGCATGGAATAATAGTTTATATCTGCATGCTTGGGGTCTAGGCTGCAATAGGCAACGATAAGATAAAACCTAACGATTGGATTCCCCCCAAAACATGTGACATCATATGGGATTTTGCTCATCACCGCCTTTGGACAAAGGTTTCTAAATTCATGTATATTCTCCCCTTGTTGTCACCATTGTCAAAATCTATTTCTCTTTAACATAATCTAAGCTATGATAGGGTATTGAGCACTAGGGCAACTTAATAAAGAAGGGGTTGTCAAAGAAGATAAGATGAGAAAGAAAGACATTATAGCTGTACATCAAGGCTATTTGTCGCACGTCATCAAATCCCCAAGCCTTGTCAGGATTGCAATAAATCTCTTAGATATTCCCCAGGAAGCAAGACCAGCAAGTGTCTCACAGCCAACTTGGAGAATCCGTCTAGGGCCTTCGGGGGCACATATATCCCCGACGCCAGTCATATTACCCTTCATCCCCTGCCCTCCTCGAACAAAGATCTGAACCAGCTCATCGTCACAAGGACGGTCAATATGGAAGAACGTGGGCTCGCTGGGCAGGTTCTCATCTGGCCCACCGCGGGACCTAGTATCTGGAAACACCTGTGAATGACACATGCCATAAGCCCATAGAGTAAGTATTGCAAGAAATACAGCTACCGGCTCATGGAATGCATCGGTCGAATATCTTCGCACATGCCACAAAGACGCGCCTGCGTGTATAACTGCGAGCCGAGCCTTATACTGATCGTGTTTGATCCAACGAAGTATATAATGCCACTCAATCGTCTGCTGGCGCGCGCTCCATCGAACCTTTTCCGTTGCTAGTGATGTTGCCAAGGTCTTAACCTCACGAAAAGGTACGAGTAATATAATCCGAGCTTCGTGAAGATGTAGGACGGTCGGGTGTTCGAGGCCAGATGCCTTAGCTATCGTGCTATTTGCCGCCCAATGGAGGATATCCAGGCAATCACATGCGCTATTACGCCACCTCGAATACGAAGGTATACCCGGTAGCCAAACAGATCCTGAGGGAATCGCAGCCTCCATAGGCTGCTTCTTGGCAGTTGGATTCCAGAACGACAAAGGCCGGCGAAAATAATCACCCACCTCCCACATGCGATGGTAAAGCGCGTGGACTAACAAGATGTGACCGAATTCTCCTATATTAGCAACAAGCTTCTTCTCAATATACAGCGTGAGCACGGCGTTGTAAAGAGAAACCTCCTCTCGGCCTAAGGGACGCATGTTAGACAGAATTACGCATGAAAAGAGACAGAAGGGATACCTGTAGTTTTGTCGTAAAGTCGTCTCCAGGCATCAGCGGAGCTTGCTCGCCAGAGGCTTTCGTCTGATGGTAGTGGAGCTTGACCATCGTCAAGGGAGAGCAATAACCGACCTTCGAAGTGGTATGCAAGCATACAGTCCAAAAGCTAGTATCTTTATCAACTATGTTCTCGCTCAAGTTCCGGTTTTTATATCTTACCCATATGAAGTAGCCTGTTCTTTTCCTTGTTTCATCCTCAACCCATGTAGCCCAACGAGCGTCCTGCGAAGTGTCCATTGGTGGAAGCCTTGACTGGGTGAAAGCACATAACAACCCCTCACGCGTCGAAATATTTACTAGCTCACCAATACTATCCAACGCAAAATCTCTACTGTGCTCATTGCTTCCGTGAAGCAATCCGACACAATTTAGCATTATTGTCTGCATAAGCCAGAGAGGTGTTCGTCCTAGTCGGCACTTCTCTTTCTTTAATAACAATCAGTGGATGCCCTCAATTGGATACCATGGTAGACTCATACCTCAATGTGTATAGCTCGCCGGAGAAACTCGTGAAACGCTGCAGAACAATTATCTTGTTCATCAATACCGGCAGCATAGCTGCCTATTGCTGACACAGCCATTGTCAATAGCCAATGACATGCATTCGGGTTGAAAGTAGGGCCATGTAAGATTGGGTATACTGTCTGAAAAGAGTCAAAGTAAAGTTCGATAAACTGCGACAGGGCTTCTCGAGGCGGAAAGACGTTGTTTTCAAATTTGGGATAGAGAAAATTCTCGGTGCAACACAGCTGGATAAAACTCTGGTAGATGTTGTCGTACATTGCAGGTTCGATCTGAAAATTGAAGGCTACTTCCTCAGATGAAGTTTCCTCCCTAAGTTCCTGGATGGTAGGGAACGAGAATTTATACTGGCCGCCTGTTTGATGTAACTGAGACCGGATATCTATTAGACTTGCAGGCCTTAGTCCAGGATCTTGCTTCCGCCTGTATTTCGGAAGCCGAGCGCCACCTCCGTCTATGTACGAATCTGCTGACCGTTGGGAGGCGTTGCAAGGCCTTGATTGGGGCGTCGATGATTGAGCAGCATCGCGGGGAAAGTGTCTGGGGCTGTCGACATCAGTACTTAGCGAAGTGTTTCCAGAAGGAGTCTGATAAACATGCTCTGGTAAAGATGGACTAGTTTGGTCCGCACTGATAACTGGGGGAAGCCATGATGCCTGGCCCAGGGAGCTGTCGATAGTCCCTCCTTGCGAAGAATGCGGGGGATGACGGTCTGCAGTAGGGTGGTCACCGGGCGTATCAAGCAACAAATCGTTCGAAAGCCAGTTGATCGTTGAGGCCATTGCGGGATCCAAGTAGGGCTGTGGGAACCCCAACTGTAGCTGTTGGTTATGTGCAACCATCATACCCATATTGATATTAGAACCTGGTACTTCAGGTTGAAACTGATGGTTTAATCGAGCTCCTTGGTCACCTGAGAGTGTTGCCCGAATGTCCGACGTGGGCATCTGCGGATACAGCTGCTGAAGATTTACTCCTGTGTAAGAATCAAAAGGAAATCGCGCAACATCTATCACCCCATTACTATTAGATAGATCCAAATTCCCTGGTTTAGAAGATCGTCGGCTATCTTGGGGGTCATTAAGGTGTTCATTGAGGTTTTCCCGAGAACTGGAAGTGGTTTTGGAAGAGCTTTGCCCAGACAGCTGGATCTGGAATTGACCAAGTTGGTAGCCGGGAATCTGGGAAGATGGTTTTTCCTTGTCCTGTGCGAGAGGGATGTCTGGATTTGCCGCAGAAGGAGAGCGGGCTCGACCAGAAACCAGCTCCTCGGGCGAGCCATCCACAGAGTCTTGATTCCGGGATGACTGTTTCCGCGCTTTCGCTTTAGATCGTCTCTCGGTTGGATATTGACATTCCAGTGATCGATTATCGCAACGGATGCATGGTGTTCCTCCGCTACATCGCACTCTTGCTACGGCGCATTTGAAACAAGCCCGAAACGTCTTTACCGTAATCCGATGTGTGCGGTCCTTCCCCCCTTCTGGTCCCAGGGTATGGTGACTCAACTCGTGACGATGGAGTGTGTCACTGGCCAATGTCAGTTGTAACTTATCTATGAGATATCGAATCGTTCTCTGCTTATTTGAAATTAGAAACATACGTTCTCGAGAAATGCCGGCCGCACTGCGTACATTCAAAGGGCTTTTCTTTAGTATGACTGCGAAAATGACGCTTTAAATGCTCCGGTCGCCTAAAGGTGCTGTGACAGATAGAACATTTAGTTTGACTGGAGCCCGTAGAAGTGGGCTGTACCTCATGGTCGTAGTTGTTCCTATCACTCAATGTCGCTTCTTCGGCCTCATGGCGGTTTGCAACTGCTACCACGTGTTTGGTTACTTCTTCTGTGTGTCCTCTTACGTCTTTCACAGGGGATCTTCAGGAAGTCCTTGAAGGAAGGAGTATGTAGCCGAATTCATACCTGGGCCAGCGTCGCTGTTCTCCGGGGACATGGCGTCTCACGGACGATTGTTCCTTAAGGCAGGCAGTGCTTGAGATTTTGGCATGGCACCTCGGATAGAAAAACAGATCGCCGTATGACAAAAGTGGCGAGAGGTGCATCACGAAAGACCGTGCGATGCTGGCATTTCATCACTATAATCGGCCGGCTTGAGGTATTCGAACCCTGATCGGGAGCAGGTAGATGAAAGTTCTTCAAGCAACAATCTTTCAAGGCAGTGGATCGAACCACTAGTTCCAACTCCGGGCTTGGATTACGTCGAAGGGCAATTTGAAAGGGTTAGAAGCGGGGAAGAATATTTGGGTCAATTGAATGTTTCTCCAGAATACTAACTTACATCCTGTACTAAGAGTAAGAGCGGGGACCCCGTGATTGGACAATGAGCATTGGTCGAAATTCCCCGCACTGCCGGTTGTCTTACCTTTCGGTTAAATGTGGAAAAAGGAGAAAAGGGGAGGGAAAGTAAGGTTAATTCCAAAAACAAAATATTATTAAGGGAAAAGAAGGCAGATTGGTTGAGTGTGTATTGCTTGAATATAACATGATTCTGAGCAATTAATAGTCATAAGAGTAAATGAATTTGGTTTGCCAAGTAGAATGTAGTATGCTATGAGCTGGTCGGTTAATATATGGTTACTGTTGCTTGATTTTCATACAAAGTACTCCGTACTCCGCAGTAAAATGCTCCTCAGGGCTTGAGTGGTCCAGAACTACTATTTCCGTAGATGGTTAGCTGATTACCTGATCCAGACTAGCCCCTCAGATGACTTCTTAGCACAGCTCAAGTTGTTGTCTCTAATTTGTTGCCGCAGGTACAAACATCAGTTCTCTCCAGGTTCTTATATGCATGAGTGGATCAAGTATGCCTTTTTGGAATCTCTTAGTATTTGTATGAAACGTATAGCATTGCACATCTTCCCTTGATATCTCAGTGACTTCAATCGGGTCTCATGAATGGCGAATTCAACGCCCGCTCCGAATCAGCGGGTAGCTCCCCATTTATCTCCTGGCCATGTTCATAATGCTGTGACGGCTCTGCAAGGTGCCACCACTGCCTTTCGCACAAGCGCTTCTAGAAGCAATTCGCCTGCAGTCGCCCACAGAACCGGAGGAGCCGCTGATATCAACAGCTATGATCTCGGCCCCGGTCCCCGTCCCGATCTTGAAGCCGAAGTGCCACCCGAAGTTGGTTCCGTAAAGGACAAGATCGGCAGGTATACTGCCCATTCTCAGAATGCTCTCGAGAGTGTTCGCAAGAGCCCAGCAACTTTTAGACCGGAATCCCCTCAGCAGATCGCCGCCCGGTTTGCTGCGGAACATGTCCCTGTACATAGGAAAAATGCAGCAACAACCACAGATACTAGTGGTGTGATACGAGGCACAAATGGACACCAGCCAAAGAACGATAACAACGTACGAGATGTGAAAGCGTTCGGTCCAAGCTCAGCCGAGAGCGTCGCAACGAACAATAATCCGATCGGGCGACACTCCCAGGGTGAGGAAGCTGGGCCGACTCGAGATTTATCTATCCGTCGAAAGCCGATCATACAACCACCTAATACACCTCTAGACTCTACGCAACATGCAGTGGCAAAGTCACGTCCAATACCCCCAGCACCTCGAAAATCACGACTAGTCACAGGCGGCCCAGGGTCAGCGGAACCTGCCACTAGAAGCGGGCAGCCCAGTGAACTGAAGGCCTCCCTCGAGCCACTAAGTTCTTGCTCCTTCGGTCCCTCCGAGGATCTATCTACCTCATCAAATGAGAAAGCTCCTGTATTGCCTCCACGGCCTGGCGGATCACCCACGCCTAACGGTGGTTTAAGTAATCATCGAGCCCTTCTGGTGAAGAATGGTGTCCCAAGCCGATCATTAAGCCCGACCGCTTCGTCGATTTACGATCGACGACATAATAGCAGTACTCCGAGTGTGCTTGATGATTCAACTAGTTTGAGTGAAGGCGCCCTTTCAGATGCAATCGTCGCATCATCATTGGCATCCTCCCGAGCACCACCTACAAGGAAGGGCCCACCACCTCCCCCTCCGCACCGTCAAGCAAGGTCGCGTTCAATATTACGTTTTCACAACAATGGGAGAGAGTTTTCCCAATCTCGAAGCCCATCCAGCCCTTTGCGACATACACTCCGAAACCCTGCTAAGTCGGACGATGAAGATGATAGTCACCACCGACATAGAACACATATCATACGGAAACACCCACATAAACATCACGAAGGCGATCGGAAGAGATGGCGGAGCGAGCTTACGGAGAAGGAGAGAAAACGCTACGAGGGCGTATGGGCGGCCAATAAGGGGCTCCTCGTTCCTACCAAAGAAGAAGTGGACAGGCAATGTTCCGAACATGATCCACTGCGAGACATATGGCCTTCAAATACCTCGGAGATGGTAGTTAACATTGTGGTTCGAGACATCTGGTCTCGGAGTCGCCTCCAATCCTTCGTGCTGGAGCAGATCTGGGATCTAGTTGATACACAAAAGATTGGGCTCCTAACAAAAGAGGAGTTCGTTGTTGGGATGTGGTTGATTGATCAGCAACTGAAGGGACACAAACTGCCTGTGAAAGTTCCGGACAGTGTCTGGGGCAGCGTGAAGCGTGTGCCTGGGATTAGTTTACGCGACATTGACTTCCATTCCTGACGTGGCGGTGGGCTCCATTCCATATCATTCGTAAAGGATGATCCAGATATGGAGGACAGTAATTCTATTTCGAGAGCAATACTACCTCAGTAGTTAGAGTAAGAACCTAGTTCGCACTAGTCGGATCGGACATTACTAGTTGCCTGTAGGGTAGTGTCAACATGACTCGACCCGCCTTGGATTGATTTGATAGGTATCTTCAGCTGACCAGAATGTGCGTATCACGGTGAACACTCGGAGACAATCGGGCTCCAGTGTATCCTTGCGTACGGACGGGAGTCGACAAAGGTTCCCGACCGGATATCTCCATTCTGGACCGGAATGCATCCGGGAATGGCGTGTCGTGTACTTACTAGTACCTACCTTAAGTTGGCGCGGGTCTTCATTCAATTAGAGTTCACCTAAGGCGTGTCGATCGATTAGTCCTCCTTTGCCCCGAGATCTTCAAGGCACAAGCTAACCATCCTGGCGCCTTGTTATCAAATCGATCTATCGATCTCCCTGGGTCACTTGGCTTTTCGTTCGCTCACCCCTTTTATCTCACCTATTCGTTCTTGTACGGGGTACGGGGAAGATATGAATTGATCATTCGCAGACATAATAAATGAGGGAATAATCGTGATTAACTCTGTGTGTGTGTGTGTGTGTGTGTGTGTGTGTGTGTGTGTGTGTGTGTGTGTGTGTAAACGTGGCAAGCCACCGGTATGTATACTAGTACTGGTGTCAGTCAGTAATGTAACCACTGTATCGATTATGACAATGTATGTATGTATGTATGCATCACGTGATATATGCGATCAGGCCATGGCCCCGTCGACTGTCGTCCGAAAGCAGTTTAACGCAGCCAAAGAAAGCAAAAAACGAGTGTGGAAGCTAACCTGATCAGGAAAAATTGAGCAGAGACGAACGGAAGAACGAACGAGCGAGAGCGAGAGCGAGAGAGAGAGAGAGAGAGAGAGAGAGAGAGAGAGAGAAGAGAAAGCGAAAAGCAAAAGAGAGCAGAGACAAGTTCTTGTTTCTTGTTTTCATAACTCAACTTTAGCTTTGGATCAATGCATTGCATTTTTTGACTACCACATTCGAGGAAGCTTCAATTCAGGGGAACCAAGAGGAACATGCTTTTTGACTAATCGCGCGAATCGTCCGCCACATTTTACGCTTTCTTGGGGACAAAAGCAAATCCCGAAGTGTGAGCGTTCGGGATTTGAATCGTTTGGCTATGGATGATTAAGCCCCAGTACTACACCCCAGTTCTCGACGCTGTACGGCGTATATCAGACCACCTCTTCGGGTATCGAAATAAACACTTCCTTGGGGATCCCCGTTGTCATATGCTTCCCCTAGTAATGATGCGCAATCCGAGTATCTACTAGTCGTCAATGTCGGGAACACTCGCGGTGAAAGTCTTGAAGTCCCCTGTGTTATCGATCGTTGCGGCTGCATGACACCAACTGAACATTGGCAAAGCCGGTTCATTTCTAGACTACCACTACTACTATATTATACTTCTCGAATTGCTCAAAGCAATCGCCATGGTTCTGGAGAACTTCCAGAAATTCCATGACAAGGGAACCACCACAGTTACACAGTCCAAGGTCGCAAGGCCCACCGTGGTGCGAAAGAAATTTGCCAAACCACCAGTCAAAGTAGCATGTCTCTCCTGGTACGTTATTCCTTTGCTTTATGATTCTGGCCATGACCACCACCCCGTAGGACAACGCTCGGTTTTTGGGATCTGGACTACGATCATGTACCGTGTGAGACAAAGTCCTTGTCTTACTACAAGGTGCTTTGTCCCCTATTGTATCGGACCTGGGCTGACACATGCGCCCTAAATAGTCGTGCGTCAAGGACGCGCTGTGATGGACAAGATCCTTGTTCCAATGTAGGTCTTTCTATGTCTCATTCTCTCCAGTTATCCTCATGTTTCTTCTTAGCTTCTCTCTTCCTCGCTTTTCTCTCCCCAATTTTTCCTTTTTTTTTT